CATGGCATGTAACAGATGCTAGTTCCAACTTCCAAAGATCGGAACGGAGCAGCTCGTTAATGGAAGCCCTTGTTTCTGGGGCCAGACCTGAGGGTTATGAATGCTGGGGTAAATATCACCAACGGAAATAAGTTGAGCTGCGGTATATTGTGTACAGTAATTTAGCTCCAGTAGCGGAATGGTAGGATGCTTGCGTCGAATTTTAACGGTTTGGCTTCGATTCTCCGAGTCAGTAAAGGATGTGCTCTGCTTATGAGTCCAAAAAAGGACGGTACGGCCGCCTATGGCTTTTCTGCATGTTTTTGTGTTGAGCATTCTTAATCTTGACATAATGAATTACTTTTATTTATTTTTATATAAAACACACACACACACACACTCACATACACACAGACACACACACACACACACACATATATATATATATATATATATATATATATATATATATATATATATATATATATATATACAGTATGTCCATAAAGATCGTGAGCACTTCTAAATTATAAATTTTAACAGTGCACACAATGAATTTTATGGATGCCCTTGTATATATATATATATATATATATATATATATATATATATATATATAATTATTATATTTAAAAATTTAAAATTATAAATATGTTAAAAATCACTACAAAATAGCCATTTTGTTTCAACACCTCTGCTGACCAAGTGATGATGTTGAATGTTGAATGTAGATTAAATAATATATATATATATATATATATATATATATATATATATATATATATAATATGTGAAAATATATAGAAAATAGGAAGGAACTGGTTAGGTAAATAATCCAAAGTCCCTTAGTATTTTAGTTATTATTTTTAAAAATAGTGCTCGATATAAAAGAAGAGCATAAATATAATTATTTATTTAAAAATATGATTCCAAATCGCTACATAAGAGGTCTCATGTTTCAAAACAAGAGCCGAAAAAACTTCAATATAATCCTTTAAATTAAATTGAGTTGAAAGTAAAATGGGCTCCGTTCCATCCTCAAGCGAAATTTTTTTTGGAATAACGTATATCTGAAATTTACTTGTTTTAAAATTGAAATCAAAATCCCCATGGTAACAGATATGGTGAATTTTCTAAATTGGGTAGGCGAGTGTAGGGTGTTTATATTAAGTAGCGGTATAGAGATACTTTCAAGGTGTCAAGTCAGGGAAAGGTGGGGGTGTCAAAAAATGAAACGGAAGATGTATTAACCATCGTCTAGTTTGTTTGTCTATGGAGATTTATTTATTTTATTTTATTTTATTTTATTATGAAAGGGAATTGTGCATAAAAAAAAAAAAAAACTTTCGTAACGTTTGTTTTTTGATGACTTCATAAAGGGTTATCTTATATGTAAGGTATTTAAACTACTAATTTAGGCTATGGATTATGAAGTGTGTTATGTAGTATGGATGTTTGTAGTTAATTATTCCTACTATGAATCTGATGATTGGGCTATTTGTTAAACAAGTTATATAAATTTATTTTTTTTTTTTTTAATCTAATAATCAAACCAAAAATCTGATGATGCCTACAAAAAACCGTTAACTCGTGTCTATTATTTAATAGATTATTATTATTTAGAAGTTTAATGATGTGCAATTTTTCATGGAGGCACAAAGGGCATGGGTCATCCCAAGCTTTACATATTCTAGCCTTGTCAATAATTTTCCAAACTTTTTTTAAACTTTATTAGATTATTATTATTTAGAAGTTTAAATACCTTACATATAAGATAACCCTATTATCAAGGATATTTTTTTTTATAGTGAATTTCCCTGTGCTAACCTGTAACAGTAATTTACCTGCATGGAGTATGTGCGGGGGGGTGTATGGGTTTTTTGCGTGTGTTAACATTCTTGACCTGGGCATCACTTCTATTTTTAGAAAACTTTTAGCACGGCTAAAACAGTGTAAGATTGGTAGCAAGATAATGGTATTTAATCGTCAATGCTTCCCTGATAAAAGTTGTCTACGACTATGTGATTTGAAAAATAATTGTGTTATCGACTAAAATTTTTCTGTAAGGTTTTTGTAAATTATGAGTTAATAAATGTTTATTAATCGACGTCTGCTTCGAAAGGTCACATGTAAGACCTCTACTTAAGGAGGTAGTGGTGTGTATAGGTATTTGAATTTTCACAAGTAACACAGTCATGTACTGGGCATTGAAATTGGTACACTATACTGGCCACCGCTACTTTAGATTTGGTAGGGTTAATTCGGTTGGTGACAACATGTTTTGCTGTCTTCCATTTACTATAATATATTATAAACTTTGTTTTTCAGGGGTTACAGTAGATATATGGTGTTTAATTATTTTCCTCATGGCAAATTCGTCCTGCTTATAATTATTGTGCATCTGGTTGCAATATAATATGTTGATGTTTTGTGGTGTTGCATTTTTGTTACTTGTCATGTATTTTTTGGTAAGAATAATTTTATTTGCTTATAAATGACGTAGGTGTGACAATTATGGTTGACTATTGTTTGTTTTATGTGTTTCAGTTCACTTAGAAAAAAATTCTTTATTCATGAGGAATTTTGATATGTTCTATTTACGATGTTTATTATCTGCTAATTTATATTAGATTAATCTATTAGTTTAGAAGTCAAGAGTTCAAACTAGTGTTTTTATACGGGTAAGCTATAAATTTGTTGGATTTTAGCTCTATAAAAAACGTCGAGGAATGGGATGTTTTTATGCACCATGAGTTCATATGTGAATCTTTGTGTTAAGTTTTTTTCAAAAGTTGATTTTAAGTTTGTGATTTCATCTTCATTTTTTTTTATCAAAACGAAAATATCATCCACGTACCTTGTGTAGATTTCAGATTTGTCGGTTGTTTTAAATACATTGTTTTCAATGTAGAACATGTAGAAGTCAGCGAAAGAAGGACTTAAATGATTTCCCATGTTAACACCGTTAGTTTAAATAAATGTGTTGCCATTATAGTTGACATCCGGGTGTGGGTACTTGGGAATTCTATATTCTTTAACCTCTGAAAAACGGAAAAACGTTTTCAATATATATATATATATATATATATATATATATATATATATATATATACATTGTTTGTGTATTTAGGCAGCATTTGTTCATTTATGCATGTTTCATTAAATAATATAGACATGTGTTATCTATTTATTTTATGTAAATTCTTTTCATATCGTCTGATAAGCTTAACATTATCATTAAACGAAGAAAGAAAATCACAATATTGATACATATTTTTTTAATCCTATCTAAGCTTTCGGCTTGCATAAGACATTATCAAAGATGACAATTACATTACAATATATTAAGCAATACACAGACAAGACAGTGATGATAGTGTGTTTCTGTTTACATGGAAGATTTCCAAGCAACAACAGACTCGTGCATATAAAGACGCTGGAAGCGAAAATCGCACTGAAGCTCATGTCGTCACAAATGACCACGCCAGAGTGAATTCGAGAAGTATTAAGTATGGGAAACTGTTGATATAAACCATTGACTCTGTTACCAATAATAGGCATTTAAGAATATTTGTGGAGATTTCATAGTTTATTTTGTTCAGGTTAGGTTTCAACTGTTTTATGTATATCGCTTCAAGAATTTTTAGTTTTTTGTTTATTGTTTTCATGTTTAAGTTGTCTTTTCGACAAGGATTTATATGCAGAGAGAGAGATTTATATGATATATATATATATATATATATATATATATATATATATATATATATATATACAAAGAATAATCACACATAGAATTAATCAGAAGTATTAATGCGATTATTGGCGACATCCATCGCTAGAAAACATAATCTATGGATTAAAATCCTGTTCATCCATAGTGCGAGTTTTGATCCTTGAAGAAAAAAACTTGTTGTCTGTAGTTTTCAGTTTATTTGATGTTAAAATGCTAGTACTTACGGATAGTCTTCCATCCATCATCAGGCATGTGTTTTTTTTTCCTTATAAAATCAAAAACTTGAGACGATATATCTGTATGTCGACCGAAAGATGCTTTTGAATGTCTGCTATTATTGACGGTTGTAAGATCTCGAACGTGCAAAGACGCAACGCTAAGTTTTTCAAAATTTTTTAAGGGAGAATTTTATTTAAATATTTCTTGTGATGTGTTAAATCTACGTATTCTATTTTTACAAGTGTATTCAGTTTTTATGTCATGAACTAAGTATATAGTTCAATAATATAGTGTAATGTCTTAGTAGTAGTTTTTTTATAGGAATTTTTTATGTACTGCGGATCGATAGTTTTAATAAACATAAAACATGAGGCAGCATATGATTTACATAAAAGAATAATCACATATAAATTAATCAGAAGTATTAATGCGATTATTGGCGACATCCATCGCTAGAAAACATAATATATGCATTAAAATCCTGTTCATCCATAGTGCGAGTTTTGATACTTGAAGAAAAACTTGTTGTCTGTAGTTTTTCAGTTTATTTGATGTTACAATGCTAGTACTTACGGACAGTCTTCCATCCATCATCAGGCATGTGTTTTTTTGGGGTTTTTTTTCCCTATAAAATCAAAAACTTGAGACGATATATCTGTATGTCGACCGAAAGATGTTTTTTGAATGTCTGCTATTATTGACGGTTGTGTAAGATCACTTAAAAAATTTTGAAAAACTTAGCGTTGCGTCTTTGCACGTTCCGAGATCTTACACAACCGTCAATAATAGCATATATTGTTTTCTAGCGATGGATGTCGCCAATAATCGCATTAATACTTCTGATTAATTCTATGTGTGATTATTCTTTGTATGTAAATCATATGCTGCCTAATGTTTTATATATATATATATATATATATATATATATATATATATATATATATATATATATATATATATATGTGAGAGAGAGAGAGGAGGAGAGAGGAAAGAGAGAGATATATATATATATATATATATATATATATATATATATATATATATATATAGATGCATAGAAAAAACAGACAAATAGATACAGAGACGGGTATAGAAACAGATAGATAGATAGATGCAGAGACAGGTATAGAGACAGACAGACAGACAGACAGATAGATAGATAGATAGATAGATAGATAGATAGATAGATAGATAGATACAGATATAGATACAGTGTTAGATAGAGAGGTAGATAGACTGATACAGAGGTAGATTTGTAGTCGCAGTTCTCGATGGACAGATGATAGCATGTCGTTAGAGAAGACGGAAATAGCTGCGACAATATGCAAGTGTCACCTACCTTTCCTCCAGACCCTGCCAGCCAGTCACACCCGATATTAAATAAACTAACTAGACAGATAAAAACGTTATATTCATAAGGGAATGTCTTTTCCATGGTGACATTTTTTTTTCCTTTCACGATGTTTCTTGTTTTTGTTCACACCGATGCAAACAGGAACTGAAACACACCGAGAGATGAAGTCGTCTGCTGTTCACAGTTCTATAAAGAAGTAAAATAATTTCCTTTAATAAAATAATTTCCCCACAGGCGGTATGTGGTATGCCTCTGGCTGCACTAACGCTATTTCCACGGAAAGTGCTCGGACGAACTACATTCACTGGTTCCGCCGAGGAAAACCTCAGTAAGAACACGCCATTCCACTTACAGTATAGCAAACTATCCACAATATCTCCGTATTCCATCGGTGAGAAGTAGTTTCCACTCGGGCAGCTTTTTCCCCCGAACCGCTGCCCTGTGGAACCGATTCTCAACATGTTTCCCCGATCTCTACAACCTTAACCTGTTGTTAACTGTCATCTTCCACTCCTATACACACAAATTGCCTCAAAAACGTAACGCTCTACCTCGAGTGGCCCGCGGGTCTTGTAAAGAATGAAACCTCGCCGTAAAAATAAATTCATTGTATAGGTGACGTTAGAACAATTAACAAAACCAAAAAAAAATTAGTCATTATTCTTTGTTGGAAGAAAACTTCTCGATGGATGACTTAAAGATTAAAGTTCAGCCGTCCCCAATGAGCGAGGTTTTGATACAGATTTTCACACACACACACAACAAACATATATATATATATATATATATATATATATATATATTTGGTTGGATTGATGTGAGTTTTATGACCCTGGGTTTCACGCTTTTGTGATCGTCTGACAAACTGATTAGTTTTTAAAAATCTTGGGTTTATAAAAATTACGTGTGTGACAGTTATTATGGAAGTGGGGATTATTATACACACTTTTCAAACACACACACACACACACACACACACACAAATACATATATATATATATATATATATATATATATATATATATATATATATATATATCACGTAAATAAATATACCGCTCCAAGAAACACCATAGCATGATAAAAGGGCCCGAACATAGAAATAAATTTTTATCGTCAAAATTTCTTATTAAAACGAAAGGCCAAAGTAATTTTATTTAATTAATTTTTTTTTAAATCTTCCTAATACATTCGAAATTTTGCTTAAAAATCTTTTGTTTTTGCGTCGGTGTTCTACGTAATATTTACGATTAGTGTTTTAGCGCCGCTTTTTCAGGTAAAAAAACATATCGATTTGAAACTTCTTGCAAAAATCAAATAATTGACGGATTTTAATGAAACATTCAGCACTTATTTTCGTAAAGAATTTTTTTTTAATTAGTAACTACCACTTTCATGAAATTTTGAGAAATTAAATTGCAATCTCAAAATTTGTTTTCTTTGTTAAAAGCACGACGGCTTGAAGAATTTAAATCAGCTATTTTTTTTTGTAAAACAGACCATCCAGTAACCGAAAATACAGCTTTGAATTGTTAAATAAAAAATGCAATGAAACTACGACTTTATTTAATTAGAAAATCTTTTAATTGCCTTTATAAATAAGATTTATTAAGGACAATATTCTATTAAGAAATTTTTTCCGATGCTTAATGAATTTTTACAAGAATTGTATTCATTTTTCTAAAATTTAAGTATAGAAATTTAATGTTATAAATCGTTTAAAATTCTGCATTACTTTAATCTGGTTAGGTGATATTTTTATTAGTGAAAACTGAATTTACGAATCAAAAATTGAAAAATAAAAGTCGTTTAGAACCAATATTTTTTAAAATTTATTTTTTGTCTCCGTAGAAAAACCTTAAATGTGTCATTAGATTTTATCACTTGAATCATTGCTACAGTTTGTTTTCAAAATACATTTCTCTTCTTTTAAACTTACACAGAGTGGCTACACGATGTGTGTGTGTGTTTCTGATAGGTTTCATGTCTTTCTGACAGGTCTTGTACCATGGGTAAGATGTTAAAATACACCCGCGTCCTGGATAAGAAGTTAAATTACATCCACGTCCTGGGGAAGACGTTAAACTAAGTCCAGGAGCAAGGCCTCTGATCACGAGGTTTTGAGGAGCGTGGAACCATCTCTTAATTGCTGGCCCGGGGTGGTAGCACCTGCTAGGGTCCCAGCTATGGGCAAATAGTTAACTATTACCAACAATACTTTTTTGAAAAAAATTATAACCAACAATATAATTTTAAAGGAAATATATTACCAGAAATAGATTTTTATCAAAACAAAATATTTCTATCAATAAAAATTTTTGCCAGCATTAAATAACCCATTGAGGTTGATATGCCATAAAACAAAATAAACCAAACCAATCTAAACCAAAAAAAACACATATTCTATTCATACGAATCTATCCTAAAATGTTGTTTTTCATTAAAAAACCCATTGAGGTTGATATGCTATAAAACAAAATAAACCAAACCAATCTAAACCAAAGAATACATTTTCTATTTATACGAATCTGTCCTAAAAATGTTGTCGGCATCAAATAACCCATTGCGGTAGATATGCTGTAAAACAAAATAAACCAAACCAATCTAAACCAAAGAATACATATTCTATTCATACGAATCTATCCTAAAAATACTGTCGCCATTAAATAAACCATTGAGGTTGATATGCCATAAAACAAAAGAAACCAAATAAACCAAACCTAACTTCATTACGGATTTCGGGTATTGCAACATTAGATCCATACTGCCCGATACCTAGACCTGTTAACAGGCCGCCTCTCCGCATAATTCGCTTCACAAAGTGAATTTAATAGCAGAAAATGTATTAATAATCAGGAGGTAGATCATTTTTCTTATAATGCCAACGAGACTTGCATCAGCAAATCAGAATTTGCTAGTCGGCTGTCTGGATGTATAAAAAATAGGCGCGATATGGGCGCGCTTTCTCGTTTTGCCTCTCCTGCACATGCGCCAACTTTATGGTAAGTCTTTTTCTTTTACATTTACTTGCGAAAAAAATCAACAACAACAACAAAAAACATTTCATTCAACGTAAAGACTTATTCTTTAATCCATGGGTCATTCTTTTTGAGCCAATTCCACCGGTATCCTTCTTCAGCTGCATCTCAGCTTTCTTCCAGTACTTTCTTTTTTACGCCTCCCACGATTCCAACTTTCGCTAATGCTTTTCTTAGTGAGTGTCTCTCTCTCTCTTTCTCTCTCTCTCTTTATATATTATAGATGTTCTGTAATGGATAAATTGTCTAAATTACGCCCAAAACAACAGTGACATCTCATTTTAACAGATAAAGTCACCAAAATCGCACACAAATATCTTGAAATACGAAAGAGTATTTGATAAAATCGCCATTGGCTTCAACCACGGTCTCCAGACTTCCTTCGGAATCTCCTGCATCTCTTCTGAACTGTCTTGTTAAATTACGAATGCTGCTATAATCCTTGTCTTCACTTCAACTTTGGTGTTGCTTGGAATTTTGTTGATCTCTCTCTCATTTACGTCCCACAAATAATAATCAAGTCGGTTGCAGTCTGGAGAGTTAGGTGGCCAGATGTTAGTGGGGTGGGGGTCGCAGAAATTGTCTGTCAGCAATGACGATGTAATTCTGCTTGTGTGGCATGGTACAGAATCCTGATGCTAGACATAAGGTCTTCCAGAATCAACACTCTTGACCCAAGGCAGCACTACCTCCTCAAAGCACTTGATGAAGGCCTACGTATTGAATCTTAGGCCATGTAGGAAGATAAATGAAAGCATAGCGTCGCCATCACTTGTGATCACATCGAACACATTCGTAATCATCATTAGATCATCCAACTCTTTCGGAATCTTCTGGACTGTCCATAGATTAACACCCAAAGTCTGAAATGTTCATACTGGAGCTTCCGGTGCGAGTGCCAAACAGTACAACGTGTGTGTGTAACAATATCAAGCAGTACAGCATGCCGTTTCCAAATTTCTAGCGGAATAAACTGACCCTACTATACCCTGTACAGTCGACAAAACAAAAACAAACAAAGCACATGATCGAAATTAAAAATATGAAATGGCGGCAATTTACCCATCGCGCCCTATATATATATATATATATATATATATATATATATATATATACACACAAGTATATGATTGGTGTATACAGAATAA